TGAGTGTCAATCAGTGTAATGAATAATGCGTGTAACAGCAGATGGAACCATGGTGCAATCTTTAGAGCTGTGATGACTGCTAATTCAGATTACAACTCCAGAAACCCCTGGAAGGGAGAGGGCTAGGAAAGAAGGAAAAGGAAGCAAGCAACAGGGGAAGTTTCAGCCTGAATGAGAAGAAGAGAAAAGTGTTGCAACCCCTGCACATGGAGATTGGTCAACCCTACATAGCTAGAGTGCACAGTGGAGCTTGGGATTCTACTGCTTTGTGGGGGTGGAGGGAGGTGCAGCTGGGGGCTGCTGCTGTTTGAGCACACTGGGACTAAAGGCTTGTTTGGGGATACTGCTAGAGGTATGTGGGTGAAATTAAGGTACTGAGTGTATATTATCACAGTTGCTGATGTTTTTGTATCTCTTACCTATTCCTTTCCTGTGACACATTGGCTTGCAACCCTAACTCTTATGAGTAACTCTTATGGATACAGTCAGTATTGAGCAGGGTGCTGCCAGAACCAAAGGCTGGGGATCATTCCCTAAAATAAACTCCAAGTGGGAGCTGCATGAAGCAGCCTGGATTAGGATGTTCCAGAGGAGGCTCCTGGTAGATATGACAAGAGCCACCTATCTAGTCTTCAGCTGAGCAGTTTTGTGCTAGCATTGGGCTATTACAAATGCCTGATTGAACAAAATATAAAAAATAAATGCAATGGTAAGACATGAACAGCATCTTTAAAAAATATAGCTGGAAGGGATTTCAGGAGAGCATCCAGTCCAAATGCCTGCTTAAGGTTGGATCATACCTGTGTAAAACATTTCATGCAAATGTGTATCTAACCTGCTGCTAAAACTTCAATGATGTTATCTGTCTCAGTGCTTAATCACCCCATAATTAGAAAGTTCCTCCTAATACCCAATAAGAATTTCCCTTGTTTCAATTTAAGACCAGTACTATTTCTTCTGTCCCCTGTCTCCTCGTCTTAAGGAAGATCAAGTGTATACCAGTAGAAACTGTTATGCTTTGGCATCATGTCTTATGCTTGAATATTAGATTGGCTTATATTTGAATCCACAATATAATGTGAAACTTGTCAATACCCTTTTGCAATATTGCTATCAGACAGGACTCATGGATTTCATATTCTAGTGCAAGGGCAGTAATATTTGATCAATCCCAGAATGTTAGCAGAATAATCACCTGTGCCTGACTGTACTTAATAACTGTCATTGTACATCTTTGTATACTGTATTCACAATTTTGTGGCATCTAAATTTAGCAAATAATTGAGCTATCCTTCAAAGCTCAAAGTGCCAATAAAATTGTGAAGTATGAAATGAAAATGCCAAAATGTGAGAGAGTTGTTGCAAAGTACTGCATGCAAAGAGAAATGACAATATTAGTAGGAGAAGTTATGTTATTAGCACTACTAATAAAAACCCTTCATTTAAGAAGATGCCTAATTGATATCTGGAATAGTGCTGCTACTTTCTGAATGAGGTTAAAATTGTCTGTTGGGCCTTATTCTGGTTCTTTGTTATATATTAAAAAAGCCTGAATGATTTATGCCAAAGGAGAGAGTTGATTTTTATATTAGAAAGTTAAAGCTTCCTTGGGGAAACTCTGTGGTGACTGGGGAGCTAGTGAAATGACATTAAAGGAAAAACCAAAAGATTGAAAGTTCAACAACAGAAAGGGGAAGGGATGTTTAAAAGGAACTTTTGAACCTGTTGAATACAAAACTGAAAAAAAAACTACACGAAATGCATAGCTGTTTGTTCTGGAGACTGTCACCTTCTCCCTACAGGTCTCAAAAAATGCACTGATCTTTAATCAGTGCATTCTGGAGTATGGAGTATGGATGTGGAGTATGGAGTTGGCTAATAATGCCAGAACCAACAATATTGATATACCTTGTTATGTCAAGAGGTGCATATTTTAATCACAATAAAGAGTGGCCTTTGAAGTAGTTGGGTTTTATTTTTAAAAACTAAAATAATATGCGAGCAAGCAAAAATGTCCGCTCTCCTGCCATGCCTTGCTGTTTCTTATGGTTCTAAAAGACAGGCTACCCCTGGGCCTTTGCATAGGCCCAGTTTGACCAAGCCCCACTAGATTTCCCCAGCACCCTGCTGGTCCTCACGATTTTCCAGGCCCCTCACTGGGCCTTTCTACTCCTCAGGCCCCTTGCTGAGCCTTGCTCTATAACCGTGCCACCATATGGCACCTTAAGCCTTAGGGGCTAATTGTGTGGCTCCAATCCTCCCCTACACCACACCTTTAGCCTTGCGGATGTTATTGTACTGTTGATCTCTCCTGTAGGGGCTTTGGCCTCCTCGGCTTCTGCCCCTTAACTCTGGCTAAGCTTTCTAGACAAGGCTCACTGTGTTGGATGGACCTTGTTTTGAGGCACTAGCTCTGGTTCAAGCCTTTTGGGCACCAGGCCCCTGGACCCTGTTTGCTGTGCCCCTGGCCCCTGTGTGGCTGTATCCATCTCGAACGCTGGGCCACCAGCCCCTGTGTGGCTGCACTCCTCTTGGGCACCGGGCCACTGTCTAGCTTGGTGGCCTCTCTCTATGCCCACTTAGGGCTCAATAATCACTTGACCCTTTAGCCTGCCCCTGGCAGGCCTCAAGGCAATTGCATGCTTCTTGGGCACAAATGGGACATCCGTAAACCATCCTTACAGTCCCAACCTAAACCACCAGTATAAATACAACAAAAACGTAAGCCCTTGGACTATAACATAACATAAAGGGGAAGCATCTTTCTGCCTCCTCAAGAGGGCAAACCTTCCCTCACCTCTAGTGCTGGCTATCCTTGTGAGCTCCCCAAGCCTCATTGGAGTTCCACAGGCAAGATAGCAGTCTATTCAAGAGTCCTGCTGCCTGGAGCTCTTCACCCTGTGGCTGCTAGGGAGAGACTCACTGGCTAGCCCAAGCCTCAGGCTTATATTTTCCCAGGGCCCTGTCTTCTACAAGTCAGTAGACTGCCTGGGCTGCCTGAAGATGCCTGCTGCTCAGCCTCATGGTCCCACTGATCCAGCAACCTTTTGCTGCTGCACCCTGCCTAGCATGCAGAGCTCTCTCTCCCCACTCTCTCCCCAGACCATTCCTCTTTCCAAGGAACGGGGAGCCTCAGGCTCTCTGTTACACCAAGTACATCTGTTTGGAGGAGGTGGTAGTTATAGGCAGGGTTGGTCCAAGTCATCTACCTCCACATTCTTTCAGTGGGTTGTCTTTGTATTTGACCATGTAGTGAGATGGGGACTGGAAGTGTATGTACAGGAATTATAGAAGCTACTTCATCTTTTGATCCATGCTATCTATGTTATGAGGTATCAGTGTAGCTCATCTGCCCAGGGATAATATTTTCCACTATAGTCTGATTTGGGCAGGATTTCACATCAGCTTTTGTATTTGGGTGTTTTGAGTCTTCCTTTGGAGTACTGACTAGTAGGCCTGTGCGAAGCAGCTAGTATTCGCTTGGGATTCAGATTCGGCTGATTTGGGGGGGCAGTGGTTCAATTCAGTGCCCCAAATCGATTTGGCTGAATCTGATTTGGAGATTTGGCTCCTACCAAATCTCTGAATCACCCAGGCCCATACAGCTCCCAGTGCTTTACAAAAAAGCCTCACTGACTGGGTGCTGCTGGGTGGGGGGGTGATCCATACTGCCCCAGCATTTTGAAAAAAAAAGCTTCGACTCTGCGGGTGCTGCCGGGTGGGTGGGCAATCCCCACTGCCTCATGCTGTGTAGGGGGCTCTGCATGAGCCTCCCAACCCTCCGCTGCTCCTTCAGCCTCCCCATGACTACCCCCCTGCCACAGCTCCAGCCCTTTAAGAAAAAAGAAAATAAAGAAAAACCTCTGCACTCA